TGTGTGTGTGTGTGTGTGTGTCTGCGCGCGTGTGCAGACTAGAGACAGAGAAAAAACAATTGAGAACTAGCATCTGCATCAACAACATGAGACCATGAGGTCAGAAACTGATAAATGGTCGCTTTTAAGCACAAGGGGGCTATCCCGAAAAACTGGGTTTCGAGAAAATCGAAGGTAAAATTTTTGCCCCTTGATCAGTTTCTATAAAAGACAAGGAGAGTTTTCTCTGTAACCAAGCAAATATACACACCAATGAAACCAAACTTCTCCTATAGGTAGGGCAATGTCCACTTTTAGTGTGTGTCAATATTTCTTGAAACCCCCGAAACATGGGTTAGCCCGCTTTTCCTTAAAAGCGACCAAATGTTCTATCTCTTCTTTCAAAATCGTACGATTATTCAGAGTCGTTATCAAGATATTCAAAGAATTGCATTCGAAAAAGGTAGACATGCTGTGAAACTTAACATTTGTATCGTCAGATTTCTCAAAATTAGTTTACTGAGCAAACAGAATTGTTTATTTCTAAGGTAGTGCTATTAATATATAAGAAATTTAAGAGTCAAAAAGAGTTATCCTTGTAATATCCTCACAACCCACTACGTGCACTATGGGGCATGAGCTGTTGCATAATTGCATGCCACGGTATTTCTCCCTCTCCATCCATCATCAAGGAGGGACCAAGAGGCTGCCGACAGACGAACTGTCAAAACATTGTGCGTCCGTGTACTGGTGTTTCATGTTACCAATGTGTGTTAAGAGTCGTGCTGCTGTGTGTGTTAACTGCCAACATTCCACGAGAACCCCTTCACTCCGGGCGGGCACCTGCGGCCCGCTACCTCCACTGCCACAGTGCCCTTTACTTTGAGGTCGGGGGAGCGTTCATATCTCGAGTCGGTCGGATGGATGGGCGTGTGAGGGTTAATCGAGGGGTAGAAGCTTAAAATAATATTATTAAGTTTTGTGATGTTATTGTTGTTGTTTGGTTGTTGTTGTTGTTGTTGTTGTTGTTGTTGTTGTTGTTTGGTTTTGTCTTTTTGGTTGTTGTTGTTGTTGTTGTTGTTTTTGTTGTTGTTTGTTTTTGTTTTTTTTGCAGAAGTGTTCAATAGTCTCATTTAGAGCAGATGATAGGTGATACTGAAAACTGAAAGCAAGTAGAGGCAAAAAATATACGTTGGAAACCGAGAGATTTGATTAAAAGTTAAGCGTATATATATTTTTTGTTGTTGTTGATAGTTTCGTTCAAACTTATAAACAAGTACTAATAATTGATGCACATGTGTTTATTATTTCAACATTCATGTACATGCAATTGTCTCTAATTAGATCAGAATATAAGAAGACTACGTATGACTTTACTTCTTTACCTCTCCCCGCCCC